CTATCTCTCTAGCCTCCAGGCTAGTACAGTGGTAACGTGTCGGCTTCTCATCCGAGGGGTCGGCGGTTCGCTCTCCGCCCCGGCGCGAGAAGTTGCAATTGTCGCCTGGGGTTACTGCTGTGGCTGGGCACCACGGCGGGTAAGTACTAAGCCGAGTCAGCACTAGCTGACACACTGTTGGCGAGTCGACATTAGTCGACACAGGCCGGGCTCCCCCTCACAGCCCGGGCGAGGCTCAGCTTCGCATATCGGACTTATCCTTCTCTCTCTCTCTCTCTCTCTCTCTCTCTCTCTCTCTCTCTCTCTCTCTCTCTCTCTCTCTCTCTCTCTCTCTCTCACTCACTCTCTCAAAGAGACGATAAACATCTACGAAAAACGAAGGATTCTAGGGGTAAATAAATAAGTGAATAAATAAGCAATATTATACAATATTATACATAAAACGAAAAAAACAAACAAGATATACTAAAAGGGGGGAAGAAGGTCACAAGTCAAGGAAACTTAACACTTGGAGATGTTTTGCCCTGGCTGGCAGAGAAGACTCAACGACCTAAGTTTTTTTATAGGAGCAAGTGTGAGTGTTAGTGTGTGAGTATGAGACTGGGTGAGTGAATGAGTGAGTGAGTGAGAGAGAGAGGAAGAAGGAGGAGATAAGGGGGTGAGAGGGAGGAAGAAAAGAGGGTTTTGATATGATTTGATAAATTTATTATGTGCAGTAGACGACAAATGGATGGGAGAGGGAGAGAGAGGGGGGAGGGTGGTGGTGGGAGGGAAGAAGGAGTGAGGAAGAGTGACAGGGAGAGAGAGGGAGGGAGGGAGGGAGAGAGATTGAGGGAGGAGTGTGTGTGAGAGAATGTGTGTGAGTGTGTGTGCGTGAGTGATTGTGAGTGTGAGTGAGTGAATGAGTGAGTGTGTGTGCGTGTGTGAGTGAGTGAGTGAGTGTGTGAGTGAGTGAGTGAGAGAGTGTGTGTGTGAGTGTGAGTACGTGCGTGCACGTGTGTGTGTGTGTGTGTGTGAGCGTTTGTGTATTTTTCAAACATGCGCTCGTATGTCAGCAAGAGAGAGTTTAAGAAAGGGTAAGGTTTAGTGTATTTGTCTTCCCTAAATGTTAGTTTATGCGAGTAAAACATACGAAAGTGTGTGTGTGACCATGAGAAGCAATCCTATGCATAAGCTATTGAACTACCATACGGGGGCTTTGAAATTTAACGCCGACAATACATCAACTAACATAGGGGCTTTTTATGATGATGATGATGATGATGATGATGATGATGATGATGATGATGATGATGATGATGATGATGATGATGATGATGATGATGATGATGATGATGATGATGATGATGATGATGATGATGATGATGATGATGATGATGATGATGATGATGATGATGATGATGATGATGATGATGATGATGATGATGATGATGATGATGATGATGATGATGATGATGATGATGATGATGATGATGATGATGATGATGATGATGATGATGATGATGATGATGATGATGATGATGATGATGATGATGATGATGATGATGATGATGATGATGATGATGATGATGATGATGATGATGATGATGATGATGATGATGATGATGATGATGATGATGATGATGATGATGATGATGATGATGATGATGATGATGATGATGATGATGATGATGATGATGATGATGATGATGATGATGATGATGATGATGATGATGATGATGATGATGATGATGATGATGATGATGATGATGATGATGATGATGATGATGATGATGATGATGATGATGATGATGATGATGATGATGATGATGATGATGATGATGATGATGATGATGATGATGATGATGATGATGATGATGATGATGATGATGATGATGATGATGATGATGATGATGATGATGATGATGATGATGATGATGATGATGATGATGATGATGATGATGATGATGATGATGATGATGATGATGATGATGATGATGATGATGATGATGATGATGATGATGATGATGATGATGATGATGATGATGATGATGATGATGATGATGATGATGATGATGATGATGATGATGATGATGATGATGATGATGATGATGATGATGATGATGATGATGATGATGATGATGATGATGATGATGATGATGATGATGATGATGATGATGATGATGATGATGATGATGATGATGATGATGATGATGATGATGATGATGATGATGATGATGATGATGATGATGATGATGATGATGATGATGATGATGATGATGATGATGATGATGATGATGATGATGATGATGATGATGATGATGATGATGATGATGATGATGATGATGATGATGATGATGATGATGATGATGATGATGATGATGATGATGATGATGATGATGATGATGATGATGATGATGATGATGATGATGATGATGATGATGATGATGATGATGATGATGATGATGATGATGATGATGATGATGATGATGATGATGATGATGATGATGATGATGATGATGATGATGATGATGATGATGATGATGATGATGATGATGATGATGATGATGATGATGATGATGATGATGATGATGATGATGATGATGATGATGATGATGATGATGATGATGATGATGATGATGATGATGATGATGATGATGATGATGATGATGATGATGATGATGATGATGATGATGATGATGATGATGATGATGATGATGATGATGATGATGATGATGATGATGATGATGATGATGATGATGATGATGATGATGATGATGATGATGATGATGATGATGATGATGATGATGATGATGATGATGATGATGATGATGATGATGATGATGATGATGATGATGATGATGATGATGATGATGATGATGATGATGATGATGATGATGATGATGATGATGATGATGATGATGATGATGATGATGATGATGATGATGATGATGATGATGATGATGATGATGATGATGATGATGATGATGATGATGATGATGATGATGATGATGATGATGATGATGATGATGATGATGATGATGATGATGATGATGATGATGATGATGATGATGATGATGATGATGATGATGATGATGATGATGATGATGATGATGATGATGATGATGATGATGATGATGATGATGATGATGATGATGATGATGATGATGATGATGATGATGATGATGATGATGATGATGATGATGATGATGATGATGATGATGATGATGATGATGATGATGATGATGATGATGATGATGATTTTATTTTTATTTTTATTTTTATTTTTTTGGTACTTTTCTCGGGGGGAGGGGGTATTCTTCGATTGTTTATAGCACATTGTACTGAGAACTTACAGAATGGTCAATAACTAAGCTGGGATTCTGTACATTAAGCCCATATGCTATATAAAATATGCTGATACTGTCAATGAACAAAAAAATAAACGGGTAACTCATCCTCATTGCTAATTTACCGAGATAATAAGAATTAAAAGATAAATGTCAAAGTAATATCATCGAAGCGTCACCGCGCAAAGTGAAATAGGAGCAGGCTTGGCTCCATGTTCTTCCCAGCCATCCTATTGGCAAATTAACCCTACGCCTCCTCGGTGAACGGACAAGAATACAGTCTAAACATCCTCAGAGGCGTCGTCTTCAAGGTCAGCTAACGTCAGGGGTACCAACATGTAAAAGGGGACAACGCCAGATCGCCATATACCGACGTTTAATTGATTATAGCTTTAAAGATACGTATATAAAATAAACTTAACTAAGTTACATGAATGATCCTAAGCAACAGTGAACAGACTGGCGCTCCTGATTGGTGCAGGAAGTGAAAGAGATTTAATAATAGTAACTGTAGTTATCGTACATGGAATGCCACTGATGAAAACACTCACGCTAACCTCCTGTAGAGCGAGTGTCCACTGTTACTATGAGTTCAAATCCTTTCATTATGATCCTTTTCACTTTATTCGGGAATATGGCACTAAGTCACATGCCAGATGTGATTATCAATGAACGGGGATGTCGTTCAGTTGTTCAATAATAATTATAATATATATATATATATATATATATATATATATATATATATATATATATATATATAATGATAATAATAATGACTATCAAAATGATACCGAATACTAATAAGTATAATGATGAGGATGAGGTTGAGAACGATAACAACAGTAATGATGACAATGATCGCAATAACAATAACTAAATAATAACGATATTCATTATCATCATCCTCAATAAAAGTAATGATAATTATGATAATGATGATGATAATGATGGTGATGATGATGATGATGATGATGATGATGATGATGATGATGATGATGATGATGATGATGATGATGATAACATTAATGATAACATTAATAATAACAATAACAATAGCATTACCGGTGTCGCTTGAGTGCGCTTGTATACAACAAATGTAATCGTACAAATATATAGACAGATGGACTGATAGATAAATGGATAGAGAGACAGACGCACACATACAGACACACGGATAGATAGATGGATAGGTAGGCTGGTCGGTATAAGAATAGGTCAACCAATAGATAGATACACAAATGGCTGATTAACTAATATAGACTAGCAGACTGAGCAGTGGATAGACAGATACAAAGATGAGAGAGAGAGAGAGAGAGAGAGAGAGAGAGAGAGAGAGAGAGAGAGAGAGAGAGAGAGAGAGAGAGAGAGAGAGAGAGAGAGAGAGAGAGAGAGCTGGAGGGGGACGGGCGGCTATATTAATATGAACCAGATGTCTGCCCTTCCTCTGGCGCCGCCCTAAACTATTACATAATTCCGTGTTCAGTAACGAAAATTAATCCTGGTTGGCGTTATCGGAGGCATGAAATACAGCGAAATTGATGTTAAAAAAAAACGCAATAGACGTATA